GGGGGGGGGGGGGGGGGGGGCATGGTGTCTTTATCACCGTGACAACAGCATGTCCAAGGTGAAGGTCAGAGCGACACACCTGAGCAAACGAAGCAGCAGCAGAAACTACAGGTGTGGCTCCATGAAGAGCGTTCTGGTTGGATTCAGCTGCTGGAGTCACCGTGGTGGGGGACAGAAGGAACTTCCATTATTAATTCAATCATTAATTCAATCATTAATTAATAATTAATTAATTTAACAATTAATTAAATTATTAACTAAATCATTAAATAATTAATTAAATCATTAATTAAATCATTAATTAACAATTAATTAATTTATTAATTAATTATTAATTAAATCATTAAATAAATAATTAAATAATTAATTAAATCATTAATTAAATCATTAATTAAATCGTTAATTAAATCATTAATTGAATCATTAATTGAATCATTAATTAAATCATAAATGAAATCATAAATCATACATGATATATGTTTATTAAACAACTGAAGCAGCGTCAGGAACTAGATCAGACCTGAGACCCAGAGCCACTCAGGGATTCAAGAATCTGAATCTGGTTCCAAACTGGTTTGCATTTGATTGTGAATTGGTTTAAATCTGGTTCTAATCTGGTGTGAATCAGGTGTAAAACTGGTTGCAGTTGTTCTACGTTTGGTTCCAAACCAGGTACCACTTCTGTGGTTCTGAACCATCCTTTAATTTGGTCCTTATTCGTTTCTAAACCAGTTTCAAGCTGGTCTGAAACCAGTTTTAAAGTGGTACGAACCAGGTTCTGAATAGGTCTGTGACTATTCAAGTCAGTTTATTTCTGTAGCACCAGTTCACAACAAGTCGTCTCAGGGACTTCACAGGAGCACTCAGTAAAGTTCTCTGCGTAAGAATCCAGCAGGCGGTGGAACGCAGTCTCTGAGCGAGCACAGCGGAGACCGTGGAAAGGAAAACTCTAGTTTTGAAACTAGTCTAGAAAGACTACTTTCAAAGTGGTCTAAAACTGCTGTAAACCAAGACTGCAACTGGTTCTGAACTAGTCTAAAACTGGTTCTGAAATGGACTTCAGCTCATTTTACTAACTGGATGGAAACTGGTTTTAGCCTGGTTTCAAACTGGTCAGAGTTTCTGAAACTTCTCAACGTGTTCGTCCGACAGATTCTGGAGGAGACGTGTGGTTCTGATCCGAGTCCTGCGGCGGAGTGTTAGCAGTCGGGCAGGAGGACAGACAAGGCTTCGGCTGCAGCTGCGTCTGTATTTTTAGCTCCTTTCAGACAAACATCAGCTGTCGCTGCAGCCGAACCAGTGAGAAGAGCCGTGTCTGTTTCTGAGCAGGAGAAACGGTTTCACACAAACTCCAGATCTGCGTCGAGTCAAACATTACACCTTTTGCTTTGGTCTCATTTATTTTGACGCTTTTAATGAAGTTTAGCTACAAACTGTTTACTAAACATCAAAATGAGATTATTGTGATTAAACTTCGTTTTCTGAAATTTTCCATTTCGTTTGATTCAGATTTTAAAATAAAAGTTGAACATTCTACTGACTTTGGTTGGTTTTGTTTGGCAGAATTTTAGTGCAACTTGTTGGTTTTTCAAATAAAAGAACTTTGCTGTAAATTGAAGTAAAGGTCAAAGGTCAAAGTGACGTCCTGAGAGGTCCAATCAGCTGATCTGAAATCAGCACGACTTGAATTTGTCTGAAAACTCTGGCCGTCTTTGAGACGTTCAGCAGTCGGAGTTCACGCTTTTATTGTGCAAAGTTTCAGAGTTTTATTTTGGTAAATTGGACTTCGTGTCTCGTTGCCACTTATTTCTGCTGATTGTTTCGTGTTGGTTGGACTTCCTGCCAGCAGACAGAAGGGACCCGCTCCTCTGACGAGTCCAGGCCCGGTTCTGTCCAGGAAAGTGCAGCGTCTGACAGGAAGTGGAAGGATTTAGGAGCTGAACGCGTTCCAGCAGGAGACGAAAACGCTGAGGGGACACTTTGACACGGAGTGTGGACACGCAGAGGACGAGCTTTCAGCGCTGAGGGGGAGGACAGACGGACTCTGTGACAGGAGCAGTCAAAGTGTCCTCCCCAGTCCTGATGGACGTTTTAATGGTGTCTCCAGCTGTCTCACAGCTCCCGTCTTCATTCACACAATCTGACAGGAGCTTCCAGCTGCCCGCTCATTTGGCTGACAGGCCAAACAAACTACAGTTCCCATGAGCCTCTGCTGTCAAACTGGCTTACACACGCCTCCGACTTTTACAGAAGCATAAATAATCCAAAAGTGATCCAAAACCATCTGTGTGTGCGACTTGTGAGGTTCTGACCAGGTTCTGACAGTCTGGACTCACACGAAGCCCAGAACCGACCCAGTTCCCCTCAGACCCAGATGATCCGCTGCTCAAACAGAACTTACAGAAACGTCTTCACAAATCAGATTTCTTCTGTAAGATCAGGGTTCTCTACTGGTGGGAGGGCGGAAACAAACATCTTAAAACAAACGCAGAGAGGAAGTTCTTAAAAATTATTAAATGATTCAAACATTTATTTATTTATTTATTTATTTTCATGGACCCTTTATTTATTTATTTATTTATTTTCATGGACCCTTTATTTATTTATTTATTTTCATGGACCCTTTATTTATCCAGGTATCATTGAGCCATGAGAACTCATTTTCAAGAGAGACCTGTTTAGGAGCAGATGGAGGGGGTTTAGGGCCTTGCTCATGGGCCCAGGGTGGGGCCAATGAGGGTGGGGGCAGGTGTGGGTGCTTCACCTACCCCACCCACATTTTTGATGTTTTCTGTGCCGGGGCTTGAACTGGCGATCTTCCGATCACAGGCCCACCTTCTCTAACCTCTGCACCACCACTCCCCCAATTTTAAAATGATTAAATGTTTCAAACATTTAAAAACGATTAAATGTTTCAAACATTTAAAAACGATTAAACGTTTCAAACATTTAAAAACGATTAAACGTTTCAAACATTTAAAAACGATTAAATGTTTCAAACATTTAAAAACGATTAAATGTTTCAAACATTTAAAAACGATTAAATGTTTTATTTAAAAATGATTAAATGTTTCAAACATTTAAAAATGATTAAATGTTTCAAACATTTAAAAACTATTAAATGTTTCAAACATTTAAAAACGATTAAATGTTTGAAACATTTAATCGTTTTTAAATGTTTCAAACATTTAAAAACGATTAAATGTTTCAAACATTTA